TATCAGCCTAGTACCCAGGCGGTCCTTTCCCGCTAACTCGTGACGTCACGAAGTTATGACCTCCGACGTCATAGGATGGTAGAATCAGCCGTCCCAGGATCTTGCTCGCTCTTCACGCTCGCCAAAGAGCGGACGCCTGGGACGAAATCGGCCTGACTGACGTGCTGCCAATGCCTTTAAAAATCAGGGAAGAAATGCTCGCGCAGTTGCAGCTCTAGGCGAAACAGCTTGCTGGGAACGAAGTGACCGTTTCCACGAGGAGAATGGGGAGAGTCGCGCATCTCCCCATTCTCTTTTTGGTAGTGTAGTGCTGCAACAGCGATTTGTCGACCCGATTTGAATTGATTAAGAAAATGACTGAGCAGACGAAAGTCGGCTCGGTTTATAAAAGTCTGAGGAAAGGGACACAGATTTATAAATCGGCCCGATTTTCATCCTCGCGCTATACCAATGAAAGAGAAATCGGCCCCACAAATCGTAGCGTGTAAATTAGCCTTTAGTTTGCTATGTTGTAATTAAATCAGGTAAATTAATCCCTTGACAAAGCTCAAGGAAGATAAAGTGATTAGTTTCTAATGAAACTGTGGTGCTGCGTCGGCGGGCAAGTGAAACACTATGTTGATTATCAACTCGGAGTTGATAAAGGTAAATTAACCGCCGTAGCGAATTTCTAGAAGCTGACGTTTCGAGCGTTAGCCCTTCGTCAGAGCAAAGGAAGATAGCCTGCATCTGTGCAGTGTAACCCCGATATAGCAAAATCCGTCGGTTCCAAAATTTTGTTGACTCTAAACGTACAAATTTTCCTGTCTAACCAGCTATTATCAAAATGTTTGCGTATCCTGTTTTTCCTCTTTTGAAAGAATTAACTTGCACCACGTCTGTACTGTTTTGTTTGGATTGTCTACTAAAACAGGAACAAAGCAGACAAAGTTGTCCTGTTACAACAATTCGAGGAAAATAAAAGGAAAATCTAGTAAATCATTGTGAATCAATAAATCAATGAATAAATATATAATTAAATACAGTCGAACCTCGCGTAAGCGGACACCCTTGGGACCAGAAAAAGTGTCCGCTTAAAGGGTCCCTCTCGACCAGTGTGCTTTGCGCGCCGATATTCTTACGGCGGCCATTTTCGGGTGCCGCGAAAATGGTGGCTTGAAGTTTAAAACTACTTTTTTGCAGGATTATGGCCTTGTTCTGGCCACAAAAAGCAGTTAGACGACCCAAGTTAGCACAATTTTGAAAGAATGGCAAACGTTAGCCCCACGAGAGACCGAGTTCCCCGGATGAAAACATTAACACGCGACCGCAAAGCACACTGGTCGAGAGGGACCCTTTAAGGGTGTCTGCTTACGGGAGGTTAAAAATGTAGTGTTTGTATGTAGCTGGGGACATGACCAAGTGTCCGCCTACAAGAGGTGTCCGCCTACGGGAGGTGTCCGTTAGCGGAGGTTCGAATGTAGATAAGTTAATAAAGATAACGATGGCACGGTAAAACTAAATAAGAAATCAGGTAAAGTTTAGAATGAGTTAATATTTTCAATAATAGATGGTGTATCAAGATAGCTATTTTCATTCTTTAAAATCTGTACAAGCATATCGTGCATATGTTTTTTAAAAGTGTTTTTCCTACATGTAAATGTTTTAATTCGGGTTTTAATGCGAAACCTGGGGACATGGCAGAGCGGCAGAGACGAAGACGTCTGCCCAAACCATTTGAACTAAATTTGAATGTTGGTTACAGTATATCCGAGGGAAGAGAATTGAAAATATTGCCAATGAGACCAAAGGATTTCTTCGTTATAAGCGAGAATTTGTCATAATTTTGTTTCCTCAGGATTGTACTGTGTACACTTTAATTTAAAATCGAAGAAAGGCAAGAGATTCCTACGGAATAAATAAGGCTATAAGGGCCTTTACTTCAAGCTGAGATGGGCAAGACGAAAACGATGGACAAAGTACAAGTTGGACTTGTTGTGTGTATATATGACATATTCTGGTAAATATTCGTAAGGTAGCCGAACAGTTTCCGACTGTTATTGTCCAATCAGACAATAGGACGAGCATGCTGAACGCTCTCTCGTCAGCCCGACGCTATGAGGACTGCTGTGATCATTAAATACTTTAGACCGGGCGAAACGTAGGATGAGAGTTGATAAGAGTTTAAATGGTCCCTCTCAACCAGTGTCCTTTGCGGTCGCGTTATTGTTTTCATCCGGGGAACTCGATCTCTCGTGGGTCTAATGTGCGCCATACTTTCGAAATTGTGCTAACTTGGGTCGTCAAACTGCCTTTTATGGCCAGAACAAGGCCAGAATCCTGCAAAAAGTAGTTTTTAACTCCAAACCGCCATTTTCGCGGCACCCGAAAATGGTCGCCGTAAGAATATTGGCGCGCAAAGCACACTGGTTGAGAGGGACCCTTTAAACTCTCACTATCGTTTGGCCTCAAACTCTCATGTACTCTCAGTGACTCTCTTGCTTGAACCTGCTCAAATTGTTCTCGAGAGTCGTCGAGAGTTTTCTCTCGTTTGGCCCAAACTTGAGGAGCCAACTCTCAACAACTGTCATCCTCGTTCGGCCCGGGCTTTAGATGCTGCGATTCTCCAAGCCAAGACCACAGGATATCAGAGCTTTGTGTTAGTATAGCAGTAGACATTTTACAGACGAGTGAGTGACGAGGTCTTTCATTTGCATTTGTTTATCTACCTTAGTACACTAATATTTCACCGAAGGTTTCTGACTTACAGCGTGGTGTAGTTCCTCCACAGTTGGAACAAGTTTCCATTAAATTGATGGAAAAAATAATCTAAACCGAAAATTTGTTGAAAACAAAGTAAAATTATTTCAGTTTTCATGAAAAAGCTGGCTACAAATCTCTGCCATTTTGGGCTTTAAATTACCTGCGAGCCGCCATCTTAGATTTTATGACGTTTCGTGGTTGCCCCTTTTGTTATACAACAAAAGAGAATAGTGGCAACCACAATACGTCATATAATGGCGGCGCGCGGGACATTTAAACCCCAAAATGGCTGATATTTGTATTCAATTTTTCCTTACATTTAAACATTTTATTAATAATTTATCTCAACAAATTTTCAGTTTAGACAATAATTATTATCTCACAATTTAAAGGCAATTTGTTCCAACAGTGGAGGTTTCCTTTAAAATCTGAAGCTTTCACTTGTGATTTAATTATAGAAACTTTCAAGTCAATAAACTTCAGTTACCAATGTTTGTTCATTATTTTTATTCACAAACCAATTTTCAACCATGCATGAATGGGGTAAGTCAGTCAGATGACAGGGGATGCGTTTTCACTGAACTGAAAAAAAAACGACTGCAATTTTCAGTTTCCATTTTAACCATGATTGACAGGAGCGACATCAATCATCGGCAGCCAACATTTGTATATTTTTACAAACCACTGCAGAGCTGTCAATAGTGACAGAAAAAAATGGAATCTGCATGGTAAAGTCAGGACACATTATTCTTCATATACAAAGTACCGCACCAATAGAACTTGCAGCCCGGCTCCACTGATGTCCTTGTAGCACAAGACAGACGGCATCTGACACCATGTACAATTTCTCTCGAGATAGTTATTTAAAAAAATGTTCTTTGTCTATATAAGGCTATATGTGACATCACTGTGACATCATTGCGGCTCCTGACCTTGACCTTTGTACACATCACTAACACAAACCCACTGTCCTTCCAAGGACTCCTTCCATAAGCTCACCTACAGAAAAAAAACAGAGTGATCTACATCTAATTTCTCCCTACAATATCAATACATTGTCAAGCAAACAGGTTATGAGAATTAAGAAAATCATCAACTGGAGAATAATTATTGTCTTGATGTACCACCAGATTGTTGCGTTGTGTGACAATACGGTCTCCTTTAAATGATTATGTAAAAAACGGCTAAACTGGGGAAGTTTCATACCGTAAAGTTCCGAAAGTAACGACCCCTCGATAGTAGCGACCCCCTGAAAGTAACGTCAAAACTTTGTGGCTGCTAATAAATCCCGAAAGTAGCGATACCAAGGTTTTTTTAATTATACATAGATTTTTTTCCCAATCAATTGTCAAATGTATAAGTAATGATCTTCGTGCAGTGTCATTACGTGGTCACAGTAAGGCACTTTACAACAAGGGAAGCTATTGATTATGCCACAAAGCATTAATTAATGTTCTTTCATGTTGCGCAGTGTAAAAACAAAACCCGTATAATTTTATTTAACGACTTTTGTTTCCCCGAAAGTAACGACCACCCGAAAAGTAGCGAGCCCCAAAGTCTGCTAATTCCGAAAGTAACGAGGGTTATTACTTTCGGAACTTTACGTTAGTTCACTACATGTACATGTACCTCAAAAGTCCAATTTGTAAAAATCATACATGTACATGTCACTCTAACGAAAATTTGTAAAATTTCGTAACTGCTTGCATGTCTGGATGGAAGTGCTCATACCCAGTTAATTCAAAGTCAATAATAAAACATTGTTTTAGTCCATGCATTAATGATTATGACCAGCTAGACTTCAGATATTTACCTTATTGTCTCCACCAGATACAGCTAATATGTTTCCTGTTACTGACCAACTGACATGCCACACAACATCACCAAACGTTTTTACAACCTGAAATGTATTACAGCAACACATGGTTAACTCTGAGAGTGAATGGTTAAAACAGGAATTGACACTGACTGATTACATAATATTTCTCATATTTCTACCAAACTTAAAATAACCATCATTTCTTTCCACACATTCTCAATCTTCGACAAATCTAATCCTACCAGTATACAGTCAACTCTCTCTAAGAAAGACAGTTGTCTTATAGAGGTGTCCGGCTTATAGAGAGTTAACATATAGTAACATGACTGATAAACGATGCGCAGGGACCAACACCAGAGGTGTCCGTTAAGAGAGAGTTGACTGTAAGCAGTTTGTCACATTTGAAACAACTGTAGTTACAGTGTATGTGGGTACATGTACAGTAGCTCCCACAAGGGTAGAGCATCCGCCTGATGTGCGGAAGGTCATAGGTTCAACTCCTGTTGGGAGAACTCGGAACTTATTTTCCAAGTAGCTTGTGTCACTGACTGAATAATTTATTTCTCAAGAATGGTTTAATATTATTTATTAACTGTAACCATGCACTGAAGCTCAATCAGTGATCATCACTTCTCAGAAACACAGAACACTTTAGTACCTTTGAAGTCCATGTTCCTCCTCCAACTTCATTCTTTGTCCAGATTACTACACGACAGTCCTGTGCAAAAAATAACAGCAGTTATTGCTTTTTGTATTTTATTTGTTTTTTATTTGTTTTTAGAGCTGATACACAAAGACATGACACTAAGTTACACGATATACTTAACAAACCTATACATACGCAATAATAGAAAGATAAAATAACAATTAAATAAAGCAAATTAAAAGGAAAAAACAACATAGGGTAAACAAAAACTACCTAGATAGTGGAATTACAAAATAAATGGCTTCATAAAAGGGGGCTCGAAAAAATTGGGCGACTGCAGTCTACAAAGAAACGAGAGGGAGCAGAGGCTCCCACTTCTCGTAATGATAGTTAAGATTGTTTTTCTCTCTCGCAATGAAGCGTTCTAGTTGATGTGTATTCTTCATTCGCTCTAATAATAGTCTTGAAGATAAAAGTTTGTCATTTAGTTTGCAGAGATATGGCAGATATTTGCCTTCCAAGATAATATAGTTAATTAAAGTGCTGTAAGATTCATTGTTGTGAAGTCCAAAAATAACATCTTTGATCTCAAAGTCCTTACTGATTTGGAGCTGGTCTCTAAACAAATTTACTACTTCATTCCAGAAAGTCTGTATCCGCTTTACATAGGTAGCATAAGGGAGAATCGACTTTTTTGAATTTGTAGAGCATATCATTTGTGTATAGAATCCTATTTAATATTTCATATTGAAATTCGCGTAATTTGGTACTCAAGGTTACTTTGGGTGGTAATAGAAAAATGTCCTTCCAGTTTAATTGGAAAGACTCAGTATTAAAGTAGTTTTCATATCTCTTTATGGCTGTCGGCTTATTTGCAATTTTGGAGATCATACTGCAATACAAAGGTTTTGATTGGATTTTTTCTACATCAATGTTTTCATTGTTAATGTAGACATGAAAGGTATTTAGGTTACAATGTTGTGTGAAGAAGGATACATCAGCCCTGTTTGTCTTTAAAATAAAATGCCATTGTTGTGGAAGCGCATTAAGTATACTGAAAATTAAGAAAGTATCAACAGGAGAGAGGGCTGATCGCAGTGGTTCCCTTCCAATTACAAGCTCCCCTGCAGTGTCATAGAGGTCACCAACTTTGTATAAACCATGTTCATTATATTTTAGCATTAAAAACTGATTTACCACCTATACAAATATGCTTGTTATTCCATATCACTTCATTGGCAACTTCTTCAAGTGTGCATGGATTATTGGTTTCATTCATAGAGGACCATAAAATAAGGCATTCCCTATAAAAGTCGGGAATAACTACCGAAAGCTTTCCAAAATCAAATTTACAATGGAACAAAAATTTGCCTCCTATTTTTTTAAGATACGAATCTAAGAAAATTTCCAACCAGCTGTATAGGGATCTAAATATCTTTTTATGCACATTATTCTCTGTGTAGAGATCATTGATTCAATATCAGGCATATTTAGTCCTCCTTTCTCAATTGGGTTTATTAGTGCCGTTCGCTTTACTTTATCTTTACCTTTCCATACAAAGGCATAAAGAATTGAATTTAGTTTTTGGATAATATTTTTTTTACAAGAAATTAAAGTTGCGCGGTATAAAATTTTTGGAATAATAAACGACTTAATTACTTGTATCCTGCCAATTATTGTGAGACCTCTCCAGTTCCATCCCTGCAAAAATTATTTTACAGTTTTCTCGATGGATTCAAAATTTCGTTTATTGGAGAGCACATGATCGTTGGTGAAATAAACACCGAGGATTTTAGCAACACTTTTAATCTCTTCCACCCCAAAATCCTGGTGATGTAACACTATGTTACCCAGTGGGAGAATTTCCGTTTTTTCGTGGTTCACTCTCAAACCCGAGTATCTGCTGAAGAGTTCCACGCTGTTTATGAGAGAAAAGAAAGAAATTTTGTCGCTAACAAACGTTGTCATGCCGTCCGCAAAAATTACTAACTTCAATTCTTTTCCGTCGACATTAATACCCTTTATCTGGTTGTTATTGCGTATGTTAATCGCCAAAAGCTCGAGAGCGATAATAAAGAGAAACGGAGAGAGTGGATCTCCTTGGCGAACACCCCTCTTAAGTTGGAAGGAAGGTGTCGCAAAGCCATTATTGATCACGCAACTTGATGTGTTATTATAAAATGTTTTTATCCAGGCAATAAAAGATTCACCAAAACCAAAAGTTTCTAAAGATTTAAAAAGGAAGTTCCAATTCAGCGAGTCGAAAGCTTTTTCAAAGTCTATAGCAGTCAGAATACTTCTATAACCTTTCATTTTTGTGAGATCAATAACATCGTTAATAGTGCGAACTGCGTCAAAAATAGTTCTACCCTTGACGAAGGCGTATTGATCAAAGTGAATGATATGGGGTAGGACTTTCTCCAGTCTTTTTGCAATCGCTTTTGAGCCTATCTTCACATCAACGTTAACTATGGAAATTGGTCTCCAGTTCTTAATCAATCTTCTATCTCGGTTTTTCTTCTCTATAAGAGTTATTACGGCTTCTTTTTTAGTAGTTGATAGTTCGCCGTGATGATAAGAGAAGTTTAGGGAATCAACCAAGTTCCTCCCGATTTCGGGCCAAAAAACTTTATAAAATTCCACGGATAAACCATCGTTTCCTGGCGTTTTGTTATTTTGAAAGAAGGAAGGATATTAAAACATTCTGCATACGTTAGCTCGCCCTCGCACGTGTCGCGGATTTCAGATGATAATTTAGGGATATAAGCAGAGTTTAAGAAAGGGCAAGTCGATTGGTCAATAGTTACATCTAATTTTTCATCATAAAGATCCGCATAAAAGGAAAACATTTCCTTGGCAATTGTGTTCGGATTTGTGGTTTCTTTTCCATTTGTATGTAATAGCTTTCTTACCGAGCTCTTCTTCTTTTTATTATTTTCTAGGTTCAGAAAGAACTTCGTATTTCTTTCACCTTTTTCGTACCATGTAGCACGTGAACGAATGATTGAACCTGTTATAATGTAATTGTATTCTCTTTCATATTCTGCCTTAGCCCTTTCTAATTTCTCTATATTTTCACATATTAGAAACGCATCGACAGCTTCCTGGCAATCCCTTAAATCTTTTTCAATTAATGTTATGTTTTCTTTTCTCTGGCGAGCTTTTTTCTTACTATAAGAGATAGTTTCTTGGCCCGGATCTGAACCACGAACATTGAGAGAGAGAGCTTTTAGTTGTAAATTATTTGCATAATTTTCCTGCATCGCGATATAGGTAATTACAATGAACGCAGACAATAGTCCATTTTACAGTTGTGTGCTTAGAATCCAGGCCTTTGAACAGAAGTGAGGCTGGAGGTGACTTTGTTGTGATACAAACCTTCCTTCTTTTCAAATGTAAATTATTCTGTTCTTATGTAAACTAGTTTCTGATCTCTATCATCAGGGGCACCCAACGGATCATTTCGGTGAAATATCTGTTCGAAAGACCTATAATCGCCTCGGATATTCGGTTAGGGAAAATGTCATCTCGAACTTTCGTAATATGGGAAAATGAATGCCTTTTGTTTTCGGAGAGATAAAAATGTCGTTTTGGGTACAAAAAACGGTCAGCTAGGATTTTCGGAAAGGAAAATTCACCTCATAAATTCGGGTAATAAGATTTCAATCCCTAAAAATTTTCTGAAGTTTGAAAGTTCAGCTAAGGTATCCGAACAGATACATTTTTCTTAGCGTTTAAAAATAAGCCATTAAACTGCACAAAAAGCACAGTTGTAACATAAAAACGACGTTCTGACACCTACAGGAAAATGTTGTCGTTGGGTGCCCCTATATCATCTCATGGTCACCCCTAACCTCGCTTTCATGCAGAGGCTTGGTTACATTTCAAAGAACTGTAAAATGGTCTATTGTCACCTCTATTAATATCACCTTAAAGAAGCCATATTGTCCCTGATTAGTCGGCAGTTTTGTAAACATAAAAACACACACAGAACGAAACAAAAAAGGAAAATATAAAAACGTAGCCAGTATGAAAAAACTGTTAAATACTACGAATGAGTGAGACCATAGTTAGTAGAGACCAAGTGTCGTACCGATTTGTTAGAGCATAAATTATGCAAAAGAACTTGTGAGCTCCTAACACCTACGGAAAAATATGCATATCCTACATAAAGGTTGATAAACAATATAAGCTTAAACAACTATAATTATTTTAAATGGGGCATTAAATCTAAAAAAAAAAGAAGAAAAGCCTGACCTGTTCCTGACTTCGGTACCAAACCGAAAAACTCATTTGGAGATGAATTGCTTGTTGTGAAATAAATACATTCATGCATCGCGTAGGTAGAAGAAGGTAAATAAATACAAAATGTATCACTTATTTTATTTCTACACCATCAACAAGGAGTTTGTAGGGTTTCGGCTCTGCTAAAAGCAAGCTCTTTTTCCCTGTGCACGAGCTTCCTCCATTTTAGGGATTAGCTTTCTCCTCATATCAAATACTTTCTTGGGCAGATCCGGGCTAATTCCATAGCCTGATTCATTGGCGATGAAGCGTCGACGAGCGAATATAGAGCTTCGCGTTCTTTGAAGCGGAGGAAGCGTGCTAAGATAACACGAGGCTTACTTGCGTTGGAATTCTTTTTCCCGATACGATGTACCTTTGGAACTCGATGGAACGGGCGCTTTCAATATTTAGTTCCCTCTCAAGGAAGTTATACAGAATTTCTTCGGTCGCCTCCGCCGCGTCCTCTTCAGGAATTCCGTAAAAACGTAAGTTTTCGCGGCGGTTGTAAATCTCGTAGTCCAACAGTTGAAGGCGTAGTTTCTCGAGTTCTGACTG